CGCATCCCCATGGCTGGAGGGATATTATCCCCCCCAACTCCTGGATCCGGTTGTTTTCCCTCCCAGGGAGGGAATGGGATTGGGGATCTGCCGTGGCCCCGTGGGCTGAGCTCGCCATGGGGGAGCATCCGACGTGTCCCGACGCCGGAATGATGAACCCAGTGCTGGGATTGTGGGATAAACTCCAGGATAACGGGACTGGCACTGGGATAATGGGCCTGACACCAGGATGATGGGTCCAATTCCGGGATGATGGACCCAAGGCTGGGATTGTGGGCCCGACTCCAGGATAATGGGACTGGCACTGGGATAAAGGGTCCGGCACCGGGATGATGGATCCAATTCCAGGATGAGGGACCCGAGGCTGGGATTGTGGGCAAAACTCCGGGATAATGGGCCTGGCACTGGGATAATGGACCCAATTCCAGGATGAGGGACCCGAGGCTGGGATTGTGGGCCACACTCCGGGCTAATGGGACTGGCACTGGGATAATGGGCCTGACACCAAGATGATGGACCCAATTCCAGGATAATGGATCCAATTCCAGGATGATGGACCCGAGCCCAGGATGATGGACCCAAGAGCAGAATGATGGACCCAACGCTGGGATAACGAGCCTGACACCAGGATAAAGGGCCTGATGCCGGGATGATGGATCCAATTCCAGGATGATGGACCCAGCACTGGGATAATGGGCCCAGCCTTGGGATAAAGGGCCTGACACCAGGATTATGGACCTAACACAGGGATAATGAGTCTGACCCCGGGATGAGGGGCCCAACACCGGGATTACGGGTCTGACTCCAGGATTAGGGGCCTGACAGTGGGATAACGGGCCCAGCATGGAACTGGTCGGGCGGTGGTGGCTTTTCCCTTGGCTTTTCCCAGGTTTTGGGGGTCCCCATGGCCTCTCCCAGCCCCCCTGGCAGCCCCATCCCCGGCTGCTCCCGCTCCAGAGGCGGCTTTTCCCTCTCCTGCCGTCAGCAAATTCCCGGCTGCCGCCGCCGCTCCTCCCTGACCTCTCTCCCTGCTCCACAAACTCCCTCATATTTCTCTCCTCCTCAAATTCCTCGGAGCGGGGGCAGCTCTGCGGGGCCCTGGAGACCCTCCAGCGCCCGGGGAAGAGTTTGGGGTGGGTTTGGAGCCAAAAATCCGTGGTGATGCCCGGGAATATCATCCCGGCCCCGGCTTCCCCCGTGGACGCTTCCCAACCCGACCCGCGGGATTTGGGTTTTAATAAACACCCTTTTATTTTCATCTCTCCTTATTGCAATCATCCATCTCTCGGCTCCTTTGGAAGCTCCCGGTTCCTCCCAGCTTTTGCCAGGGGGGAATTTGAGATTCCCTGGAGTTGGGAGATCCCCCCGGAGAGGAGCTGCAGCTGGAGGAAGGCTCCGAGGATGAAGA